TATATATATTGATATTACTTATTGTGGGCGACAAAGGAACTTAGAAGACTAGGGCCGTGAAGGCAAGCCAAAAGGAAACAATAGAGATGCGTGTCAATTTCGGTAAATAATAATATATAGCTATAAATAATATAAGCGACCTGTACTCCACTCTTATAATCAATATGCATATTGCATTCTTATATATATATATATATATATATATATATATATATATATATATATATATATACCCTATCAGATCGACCTCCACGCGGTTTCCTCTGGAAACCATTTATCACTGGTGCTTCGCCAGCCTATACCGATAGCGTGGAAACCCCGCCGGTTTCCATTCCATTTTCACACATAAAAAAACCGCTAAATCTGTTATCTTCATATTTAGCAGGTAAGTTCTTTATAAAGCGTTAAACATCTAAAATCCACGCATAAAAAGTTGCGGGCAAAAGCTAGTATATAATATTAAATTGTAATAATAGAGCATATTGATGAATTTATAAAAAACTAAGTTTTACCTGCAATTTCATCAATGTGATCGGATTAAATTACGTGTGTATAGATATACCAAATTTCATAACGATCACGCTAAGAGATAACAATCAAACAAACAAACTCACTTTCACATTTCTAATATTAATAACAATTTAAAATATTACAGACAGAATAAGGCACTTTGACTTACCCAAAAAATTCTGATTAAATAAGATAAGCTGCCACAATTTTAAAAAACTTCCTAATTCTAAAAGCCATTATTAAGGAGGTAATGTTTTAATGCGATGCTTTGTTTACTTCGAAACAAACTCCAAAGATATTTTGACAGCCAAGAAACAAGAAATTAGACAGTTCACGTATTTTGATTTAAAACAAGCTGTTTTATTCGGATTTTCGTTTTTTTTTTGTATGATTCAAAAATTACAAACAATTAAAGAGACCTTACTATAATCATACTTTTGTTATTTTGTTGCCGTTGTAGTGAATTCAATTAGGTAGGTAAAATTTCGCCGAGCATATTAATATTCGATATGCTAAAAACGGGCGTACCCCCGTCTTAGTCGAACGCCTTCGGATTTTAGATCAAAAATTACAATTTAGGTTTCACTACAGAAATTTTGTGTCGGCTAGATTTGAATACGACTAGTGAACTCTTTTAGGACTATTGAATACTCCCTAAAATTGTCGATCTAAAACTTAATTAAATATTATATCTAAAAAACAAAATCCTTTGACTTATTTCGTCATTAATCAGCGTTATCTAATAGGGCTGAAAATTGTAAAGATTGTTCATTTTATTCCAATGTCTTTGTCAACCTAAATTAAGATATAAATAAAAAGTATATCTAGGTGATGGCTTATCTATGTACTTACGTACCAAATTTCATTCAAAACTCTTTAGCCATACATAACTGATAACAAATATCCAAATGTCTGAACAGAATTTCATACCTATATAATAGAATATTTTTCCCATCATATTTATTTACAAATTTGTGTAAATAAATGCATTTCAATAGTTTTTAGGCGCCTATTTAATTTCTTTTTCATATTAATTGAACATGTTGTATAAATAAATTGCCATCCATCCCTTCGAAAAGTAAACGCAGAATAAACAAGCAATGCGCCAGTGTGTAAACAGTGTTCTTTATTGTGGCCTGGATCATGGACCCAATACTTTGTCCCAATATGTACCTACTGGGGCCTTTATATTCCAGATCTTTATCATTATATTTTATAAAAAGGACTTTTTTTATTATAAACACTTTTTAATGCTTTTATTGAACATTATTCATGTGTAAACAAACAAACTTACAAACTGCGATAACAGATTTATTATCGGGGAGAATTATTGGTATAATTTCAACTGCGGCTACCCTTAGAAACTTTTAATTGGTTGGTTTAACAATCAAACGCTTCAAGAAAGGACAACAGATATTGATCTCAGATGTAACGTCTATGCTTAACGCACAGTTACATAAAGTTTTAATTTAGCTTCATCTTTCGATATCATGTATCTAAAAAAGATAGAAGTCTTTAAAATAAAATAAAAAAAGATCTTGGGCACGTAACTTGATTCTTTTGTTTTATTCCTAACCAGCTATCCACCGATCTCAATAAAGAACACCTGCTGCTCCATTGCTAGCAATATATAAGTGAAATCGAAGTGGTTAGAATTAATAATCTACCCATTCTACAGAATATATCTATTAAGACAGGATTTTTGTGAATCAAATATTCAAAATTGACAACAAATTTGCGCCTCTCTTAATTCAATAGTTAAACGCAACATGTAATTATTATAAGTAGACAACTAATTATGAGAGGCACAAATATTTTTGACTCTTTTAGATCCATGTTTCTTGTTTAGTTTTACTAGTAGAACACTCCTATAAAATAATGTTTGATTTCACTGTCAGGCGTCAGGTCGACCTTCCTACAATCTTTGCACGAGTCATTTAAAATGGCCACGATAGAGCCAAATTCATTCTTATCTATTATCCTTGCCCGCTATTATAAACCAATAGTTCTTAGTAAAACAAGCGAGATTACCATTACTATTAAAAAAAAAAAACATAAAAATAAACCTTATTACTTATAATTGACTAACTGTACCCACAGGAAATCGTCAGGCTTTTCACTTTCCTATAGGAGTGTTAAAAAACACTTTCTTAATTACCTGGAATAAATAGATCTATCTATAAAGAGAGAAGTTAATGATAAATAATGGCTTTAAACTCAATAGTCTTGACTGTGTGTGGATATGTTGGTCAGCATATTTAGCAATATGATACAACGTATTACTTACGAACCAACAGCTTGGCTCGTATGCCTGCAAATTATTTCTCTTGTCTCATGGAAATATATTGATTGACAGGCATAAACAATAAAATATTTCCTTTACTGTAGTGAGACAAATCCAAATGGATGGGTCGCATTATCGGTTTACAGTGTCAAATTATTTTTACATTTCAACTATTTTATGAGTTATCACCATTACCACATTATTGTATTCACATAAAATAAAAACTGTTAGCAAGTAATTTGTGTATAAGTAGCGGTTATACAAGATAGATACCAGTAGATACATAAACCACGAACCGCGTAGCACAAAAAAAAACTATTTATTTTTTTTACTTTTTATATTTAGTCTCTGTCTGTATGCATTACTCGGAAATATTTTTTTAAATGGTATATATATATATATGAAATAGTAGTCGCATTGTCAGTATACACTGCCGGGGTAACACTGAGTGGTGATGAGTGAAAATGAAATTAGGTCATTTGGCCTAGCGGGACGAATTCACAATATTCTATTTAGATGATTCTCTCTAGAATTTCTTTAGTTAAATTTATTTTGAGTAGCGCCATCTACCAATATAATACTTACTTCAAAATTAATTAGCCGCGTAGATCTCGACATAGAATAGGTCACCCCTACCTTTCCGTGGGTATATATACAGTGGGTGTGTCGTAAGCGGCGACTACGGGAGCTTATGGTGGAGGGATGGTAGCAGCATCTTTCTGAAAACATAACCAAAAACCAAACTGCGGTTGCCAACCCACCTGCCAAGCGTGGTAACTATTGGTACCCCCCCCCCCTTGTGAGGGAAGCTATAATTTTTCAAATTTTGTAAATCTATCTGTTTTTCTATCATTACACAAAAACTACGAAGACGAAACGAGAATGAGATAATTGTGAATACTGCGATTGTCCCAATCATTGTCCTTTGATTTTCCTATTTCTGGTATCCAAGCGTACGAAATAACGAGCAAATAACTAGTAGGTATATAATAGTTTCCAATAAAGTATATATTATTAATAATCACTAAATAATTAGAGAGATTTTTCGCACACATTACTATTAAATTAATAAATACTTCTTAAGTTTTATGTGAGTCAATTAAAATGGAGCATCAATGACTAAAACTCAAGATTTCGTTCTCCTTCGTAAAACTCGTAAAGCCATTTTCTTGTGATGACGTAACAAATAAACATCAATTCTAAAAATGTGTGGTTTTCTGATTACAACATTAACATAACTATAAATTCCTTCAAAATTCGTCACGATCCTTACCTATCATCATTCACAGGTACCTCATCAGTATATCGATAACAAATGCAGAATTATCATTTCATTTTTATATATTACAAAACTAACATGCCTACATAGATAATGAGTGACAGACAAATATAAAAACAATGTAAACATGCATTATAAAAAATGTTAAGAAGCTACCTATATTATTATTAATCAATTACACATATAAACAAATACATAAAAATATAAACACTCATAATCAATCACACATAAACAAACAAAAAACCTAATTATCTACCTTCTTAAAACTTTTATGTGTCATGAGATAATACATTATCTAATATCACAAGTCATGGATAAAAGGTAGAATGTATGGAATAAAAATTCAATACTAACAAAAAGTAGGTAAGTACCAAATTAAATTTTGCTGGTTTTTCTGGCATCTTTTCATTACAAGGCAATGTCACTGAAATTAGATAATATAGCTACTATAAATTACACAATAAATAAACATCTAATCTGTACATAAAAAGACACTTCTATAAACAGACCAGTAAAGGCTGGCTGGCTAATAGGTAGGTATTATGTAATGCAGATGAAGTAATACTGCATACTGGTTTATTATTATACAAACAACTTATATAACCATATTGATTACATTGCTTACTCATATTATACAATTTGCTTTTGTAATGTCCCTATGATTTGTATAACCCACTACCTATAACTTACATTACCTACTGAAATTTAAATAAGAAATAAATTATTTTAGTACTGAACATGGCCTATATACATATATTTTATTAAGATCTGTTCAGTTGTCTAAGCCTGATTGTGTAACAAAGGTCCAAATATGTAAATTACAAACGCTTTACAAACTGCAATATTTATAACTCTAGCAGGATAATAGCATTATTTGATTTATAAAATATTAGGTAATATCTAAATGCCATAATTAAAACTATAATATAAATATTTAAGTTTTATTACATTTTAAAGATTAGATAGACAATTTTGGTGTAGAATTGGTATCGGGCCCCAAGTTACTTTGTAACCTAGATTTTTAACTGTATCCTAGGTTACAGCAAAGCACAATTAATAAAATATTCTCACTAAGTCAAATTTTGATCCTCTTCAGGAGAATTTCCTTTAAATTTCTTAGCTTCTGTCCCTTCAAATTCAGAATTTGATTCATCTTTAGTTAATTCATGTAAATTATATTTTTTATACATATAATAATTTTCCACAATGCTGAGTAAGCAAATTCCCTTTATAATTTCCACTATTATACAAAGTGATGGATTTTTCAAATCCGCTTTATTGTCCCCATTCTTCAAGACAACCATCTCAGCAAGCTCCTTAATAATTAGATCACGGGAGACACTGCTATTAAAACGTTTATTAAATATAACGGCAAATGTTGAAGGCTCTTTTAGGAAATAATTATCAAATAACTTTCCTGCACATTCCATTATGTCTGGCAAGTTTGCTTTGCAAGTTGCCATAATAGGGAGTAAACGTAATACGTGTCGCGTTTTTTGCAATTTTGTTGAATATAAATCTTTGATTATGGCTCCTGTTAGCTCCTCTGGGCTAGGCAAATTAGTCTTTATAAAGATACAATTTGATGCACCGGTTTCAACTACCTGAAAGCGTTTATGTTTTAGAGATCTTTGCGAGTCCTTCTTCATAGATTCCACTTCACGCTTAAGCAGATCTCCAATATCAGTCTCATCTTCAGATTCACTATCCGATCGGTCCTCGGATGCAGTAGCCACAGGCGCCTGAGCCTCTTCAGATTTCAAATCTGGATACAATTTACTAGCGTACTCGTTGAGTAAATTATACACTTCCTTCACGCAGTCTTTTTCTCTAAAATTACACGTGCAAAAGAAGCCTCTGAAGCCGGGTTCTAAGAAATATTTATTTCTACGCTTACGAAAGTAAAACTTTTTCTTCTTTCTTGTATCGCCCATTATAATTTCTCTAAATACCGTATCGATTTATGTACAATACAAACAATTATGTATGATATAACAACCGAGAAGATATTTAATGTTACGTATTGAATAAGGATTATGAATTCATATAACAACAGCCAACAACACCCTTAAAGAACGTCAATGTCAACTAGAAATGTGACAGTACTGATCAGTGTTGCCAAAAAAAGGCTAGATCTAACCAAAAATTTTAGTTTTTTCAAATTTTTCTGCAAATATATATATATATATATATATATATATATATATATATATATATATATATATATATATATATATATATATATATATATATATATATATATATATATATATATATATATATGGAAATATATAAGTTATATATATCTATTCCTTGTAATTATACTGCTATACCCATATTTTTAAATTGAAACATAAGCATAAATGTTTCAAAACAGAAATAGGAGTCGAACAGATTTACCCATGCAAACGACTTTATACAATCTCCCCTTTAAAACTACTTATGTAAAATACAAAAAGCTTAATACAAAGAAAAAGGACTAGACAAACTGCAAAAAGGCTGCAATATCATAATAATAATGAAATTGGCAACACTTAACAATTTTCTTTAATAAATTACAAGCAGAGAGATCTATCCGTCATTTCTATTTTTTTAGATGATTTTATGTAACATTGCTGTATTCTTGCAGCTTTCCTAAGTTATTTAGCGATGACTTATCATCTTACTACTGATAATTCTAATTGCATGACTCCTTGTAAGTATAAATAACACCTTATTTTGGATTAAGTTCGCACTCTTCGACGTCGTCGTCTGACCGAGACCCCGACGATCCGATAACATTATCTAATGCCTCTCCCTGCTACCGCGAAACCTTCGTCACACACAGCAAAACCAACACACAGCACACACCCTCCCCGCTGTCGGAGACGAAAACTCCCGATACACCGTTCGCCCACGATCAGCTTTATGCATGAGCGCATCTCATCGACCCTTCCCTCCCTCACATTATAACAAACCGACCCCCCGTCCTTCGACAAGGGTTGAAATGCGGTGGCCAAAGCCAAAGTCCGAGCCGCTCTGGTGTCCTTGGGCGTACGCCGCAGTCTATCAGTAAGAGTCGACACTTTGTGGCTCCCCTGTCGTGGGCTTGGAATGCCATCTGCACTTGCCCCCGCACGCGCGCCCAGTGAAGCTGCTAAGGCCATCTGCGGCCAATAGCAAGCACAACTCGAATAAAAAAGTATTTCATTAACATTGAATCCCTGGAATAATCAACAACACCATGTCAAAACAAACTGGAAATTTTCGCAATTCGGGGCACCGCACTGTAATTAAATTTCTTGTTAAAAAAGGAAATACACCAAAACAAATTTTTGAAGAAATGTCATCGGTTCTTCGGGATTATACACTTTTATATACGATGGTAAAAAAATGGGCTCGGCTATTCCAACAAGGAAGAGAAACGTGTGAAAACGACCCTCACCCGGGACGCCCCGTAACCTCGAATGATAGCGACCGAAGAAAACGTTAAAGAAATCGAACAATTAGTACTGGCCGATCGAAGAATTTAAATGTGGCAGATAGCAAAAGAACTACAGATTAGTAAAAAATTAATTAGAGAGATTTTACATAGATCAAAAAAAAATACCCATAAAAAAATTATTGCGCATTATTATCGCGAATACCTACTGCTCGACAAGAAGCAACGATTGGAAAGCTGTAATGATTTTTTAGAATTGTGTCAGAGTGATTTGAAAGAAATTTGTATCACCATTGATGAAAACTGGATTCGCCAATATGATCCAGAGCCTAAACAAAAGTCATGCAGTGGATAAAAAAGGGAGAAAGGAAATTTAAAGGGGAAAAGTCGGGTTCAAAGATTATGGCTACCATTTTCTGGGACAGCGAGGAATTATACTAATTGATTACTTACCTAAAGGGACTACAATGAACGGGCATTACTACGCTAATTTACTGGGTCAGGACGTTAGCAACTGGACTGGCAAATTAGCGTGCGGAATGCTGTTTTTGCAAGACAATGTGCTCGTTCACATCGCTCGGGTTACAAGAGATGCCTTAGAAAATACAGGATTCATAGAAATTAACCACCCACCCTATAGTCTACACCAGCCTCTCGAGGATTTTTAAACGTTGAGGGGCCACAGATTTACATTCCAGGATTACGATAGTAGCCGTTTCCTCGACGTCCAAAGAGCCTTAACATAGAGGGCCGTATTGTGTATAAATGTTTGTTTAATGGGCAATGGCTCGTTATTGTCCCTATCTTTAAGGTTTTTTTCTATTTAGATATAATAAACGTTTTAATAATCGTTGATTCAACGTTGGCACGGCCAATTTTGATTGTCTGCAATCAGTAGCCTGTATCAATCTTTGGTTTAAAAAATATTTCCTCAAAGATCCAGATCCATCTTTCCAGAACCCTTGTTAGCTAGCTCGTCTGCGGTATCGTTACCATAAGATCCAATGTGCCCTCTTATCCACTGGAAGATAACTCGATTATTGGAAGATATCCAGTGCCTGGTAACATTCGATTATTATTTTATTATTTGTCGTTGTTTCATAATGCTTTTAGTACCGCTGCGCTATCAAATAAGAATCTAATGTCAATATCATTTATTCTTATGTACAGCTGCAGCAGCCTCGGTTATTGCTACACATTCACATTAGAATATTGAGCTCTGTGCGCCAAGTGGTATGTGTATGTTTATATTAAGGTCTAGTGAAGAAACTCCGGCTCCTGAACTGTTAGCAGTTTTGGAGCCATTGGTGTATATGCATAATTCATGTACTCCAGATTCGTTCTTTTCCTCTTCTTTTATTTGTATTTGATATTTTTTTGTTGAATATATATTAATAGGAGGTACCATGAGTATAACAGTGGACTCTGTAATATCCATGGTGTCGTTCATGTCTATAGACGCCGGTTATCACTTTCCATCAGGTGGGTCGTTAGTTTATTTGCTATTCTAAGTATTATAAAAAAAAGGAAGATTATTTTGTGCATAATAAAGTAAAACTCGTCAACATAATTAAATAGAAATTATTTTATTCATAAAACAAGACAACAAAATAATAACTTTATAAATGTATAATAAAAATTAAAATTATAAGTACCTACTTTCTAAACTTAGAATTACATTTGGTTAATAACCAATTACTAATATTATGCATACAGTATAATTACATATCATACCATTTAACATAATACTCATATCTAGAACGACATTAAAATACTATTAGAATACTTTTTGTAAGTATGCATTGTATTAAGTGCATTGTCCGAAAGTACATAGCCAAAGAATTTCTCGTTCTATGTTTGTAATATAAATCTTATTTTATTTTCAAAATTTGCAATACTTTGTCTTCATTATCGTCGGTAATTTTGCTACGACAGGTTTGTTCATTTTAGGACAAACAGTAATGCTGTAAAAAAATTAAGAAATTCATTCATAAGAAATTCTATAATAATTTTTATAAAAAATTGCTACATAAAATGAAATGCAGTGACATTAGGTTTATAGGCAGTTTAAAAATTTTCATGATTAGTTGAACCATTATGATACCAAGAGTTAGACATTTTCACATAATCATCATCATCATTTCAGCTATTATCCGTACACTGCTGGACATAAGCCTCCCCCATAGACTGCCGTAAAGAACGGTCCCGAGCCACCTGCATCTACATAATATTAATAAAATTTATTCAAAACATCATTTTGGTCACAAGTAATTTAAAAATCGATTGCGATCAATTATTAAAAAAAACATTTATTCGTCATCATTGTTATATTGATAAATCAATCGTTATTAAAATTGATATTATTGATATAAATCGATTTATCAATAGCAACTACTGCAACATTATAAACAATTATAGATATTGTAACGATAGTATTATTTTGAATTCACTACAAATAAAATCGATAATAGCCAAAACCGCAATCAATTATTATAATCAATTAAATCGTGTAAACCTTTATTTTTTTTTATGCAACGTAGAATGACAAACATCCTGATGGAAAGAGGCAACCGTCACCTATAGACACGAGCAGTAAGTACTATGGTCATAATAGATTATACTGTTTCGCCCATGATACCCCCATGCGTTGCCATTCCTGAGGACTCAGGTGTTATTCCTCTGTACCCTGTAAATTCACCGCCTACCTATCCTACCCTTCAAACCGAAACATAGCCATGCAAACTGCTTCATGGTAGAAACACGAATGGGACAAAGGTGCCCAAGCAAACGACTTTTGTACAAAGTCTTGACATATATTGACATTATCAAAAAACCAATGGATTTTTAGACTGAATAAGCCGGATGAACACTTTTTGAAATATTGTGATTACACACACATGTAAATTGAGATAACATTATCAATAGTTTAATACTCACTCTGTATTGTATTCTATGGAAGAAAGCTTCAAGTACTCTATATAAATACTGGGTGACTTCAGCAACCTCCATGTCATGGGATTGAATAGGTTAGTTTCATACTTCCACTCAACAATGACAGAGAGTGGTGGGTGCCCTGTATCTTTTACCGCAACCATACGGGTTTCTATATCCCCCGGCTTATAATATTTCCTATAAAAACAAAATCATTATTATAAAACTTAAATACTTTGTAATACATATTCACAAAGTGGGCATCTCTTATATAGTTCTTTTCTGTCGTTTTCTATTGTTATTTTTTTTCTGTCTTACTTCCCACATATATGTGGTGGTATAAATAGTGGACACCAGTATTCTGGTGTCCACTATTTATTTTCCTATCTTCACATCAAATCTCACAAACATTAAAAATATTAAGGCAATATTTAAAAAAAAGAAATTACTACATTTAATAACAAATAAATACATATTAAAATTACCAATTGGTTATGCCATGATCCTACAGATATACGTTCATTTTAACGTAATATAAAGTTTATTATCTAAATTCTAGAAAAAAAAATTGTTATATGTAACTTTACAATAACCTAATTATAAGAAACTTTTGATAAATAATGATTAACAGTAACATAATACGTCATTAAAATAATAATCAATTTTGTGAAAAACAAGTATCTTAAAAACATCATTGTTATAGATAACATTTAAACAATATGCGCATGAATCTCGTTCATCACTTAGAAGATATTAGTGTATATGTTGCTACAACAATAACAAGCTGACGCAATTTAATTGGATTTAAATTGAAATCGATGTAATTTAATAGGAAGAGAAATCAAATGAGGAAATTGGGGTGTCATTATTTAGTATATATTTAATTTAATAAATACTCTGACTCTGTGACTAATATCTTACGTCGAATTAGACATTTTGATGATTAACTATCTGTCTTTAACTTGCTATTAGTAATTTAAGTTGCTATTAGTAATTAGGTACTAATAGTAACTAAAGTCAGTTTTAGTGGAACAAATCAAAAATTATAGATACATACTGTTCATCATCTAAAAATATGTGATCACTTTTGTTGTTATTTCTATCGATGAGTGTTATTGATAATTTTCCTGATTCAGGCCCATGGGTGTTGCTCTCATTCGAGTTTGACACTTTTAAGGTGACTTTATAGTGGACTCCTGTAAAGTATAAACAATATTTATAAATACAGAGATTGTATTTAGTACTTTCAGTTAGACCAGACTTAGAATTTTTGTTCACAGATAATCCTCAAATTACAAATTCCCCATTTTACTGAGATTTTGCTACTGACTCGTGTACCCAATTTAGATTATGAAACTAGTAAAATAAAACTAGTACCACAACAATAATTTACCAAGAGAGTCAGGTATAAATCACTAGTTTTGTAATTCATACATCAGTTTTACGATATCAAAATAGATTCGTACTCAAACGCTTTTCTAATTAATCTTGTATCATGTAGACTCTATACTATAGCGTGTTCAGGGTTATTTGAGTGCATCGTGAATAAGAAGAGTTTGCTAACTATAGAACTGGCTGCCCATAATGTTCTTTTCTATAAGCGACCATTTTCCATAACATGGACTATCATCTTGTTTGACACTTTTAGTTATTGTATATAAAAAGTATAGGCATACTTACTGCAAAATGGTTTTGTGCCTCCAGTCATTAAATACAATGCTATATTAGAATTAGAGTTGGCGAGACCGCCGGCTTGTAATCGTTTGTACACGTTGTACGAGTGATATCCCATTGGTATACAGTAATGCTTATTATCACAGCTAGTGCAATTTCCATCAAGGAAAGACTGAAAATGATTAAGTACAAGTTTATATTTGACCAATTCGTGACTTTTTTCTATGAAAGATCTAGTGATTGACTGAACCTAGATCTCATTTTATAGGAAGTGAAAATGAAGAGGACAAAGATAAAACTCATGGGTTCATAAACTGACTCCATGTAAATAGTAAGAGTCAGTTACACAAACGAATCAGTTTACAAAACATTTTTACTATAGTTCCGTGACTATAAAAGTAGATTTATAATAAAAAGTAGAAAATATCATTAAAATCAGTAACACACACAAAAAAGCGATTTGAGATCTTTCTTATTATTTAAAGTAGAAAAATATTAACTACAATACAATAACATAATACGTTACTCACTTCGTAAGAATCGCATTGTATACCCAAAAATGGGCAAGATGGCGAGATGCTCTCCGTGAAATACGCGTGGCTTCTCTCGTGGTTGCAAGAGACGTACCCAACTACGTTACGGTACATATCGTCACCGTCACTCTGTTGCGATTTGCCAGATTTGCAGTTAGGCTGTGTAGAACCGCCGTTAGGGTAGAAGTCCACGTGTCCGATTGGCTCACTAATACCAAAACCTTTAAAATACAAACAAAATTATTTTTAATAGTGCTTAGAATAGAAAATAGGAATTTTATCAACTTACTATGTTTGTCGTTTCTAATGTCATTGAACTAAATTTCTAATGTAAGCAGTATATACATTTATTTTAATATTTATTATATAAGTAGGTAGGTATTATATTTATTTATATAGTGTATATATTTATGTAATATTTTATTATATATTTTAATATTTTATTTAACTGTATATTTGTTTATGTATTAATAGTTGTAGCACTTCAGCTGCCCGCTAACGACATACTTTCTCACTGTATTGGGTTGACTGGAAGAGATCTCTGTCAGAGATTAGTCCACCCTTGCCCACAACATTTATAAATGTAACTTACAAGTGCAATAATGAATATATTTACGGGCTCTGCGAGCTACAGCCTGCAGTACGAAGCGAAACGCTAAAACGCTGTTAATCCTGAGGTAGATGTCCGGATGAAGTCGAACAACAAATATAGTGAGTTAATAAAATTCCCATTATAGATATGCATATGATATGTGATTTATAATGTGATTAAATCTCTCATTTCCATGAAAAAATACATGAATTCGGTGCATGAGTAAATGGAGTGACGTTGCGATCATATATTGCTATTTTGTAATTCAAACGTGCTTTACCTTGCAGTTTTGTTTTTGGGAGGCTAAGTGAGGAAGGCTAGCTACGTTAAATTGATCATCATCATCTTTTCAGCCATTCGTTTGTCTACAGCTGAACATAGTCCTACCCTCTAGGGGTAGGCTACATACAAAATTTGATTATACTGTACCTAATTTTATTTAATTAAAAATATATAAAAAATTTAAAGTAGCATGCTAATAATTATACAAACCTGAGAGATATAGGGGCATCGCGTTGCTATGTATAATATCCACGTATTTTGCATCCGATCTATCCAAGCGTACCAACGTAACGGTTTTGCTAAAGTAAGGTGCCGCGGGGTCTAACCCTGTAATTCTTCCTAATTTTAAGTTGAATTTCTGAAAAACAAGATAATTATTAATGTTTTATCTGTGCTTCATTGTATAACTATTACTTTAATGAAAATGGCTACATATCATAGTTTGTTCACTTGGTTATGCTTTCAAATACAGTTTGCTCAATCACTTTTATCATATAGACATTTAAGTAACGAGCTGTTATGTTTAACCTAATAGATTATTATTTACCTTTTGCAAAGCATGACCACAATAACCGCCGAGATGAGCACCCAATGAATGTCCGATATAATGGAAATTGTCCAAACTCGACAAACCAAGAATCTCCTGTAACGGAAATGCACAAATAATTAGAATAAATTAGCAAATAGGTACGTATAGAATATTATATTAACAAGGTGTTGCATACTTTACGTTGTGAGAATTTCGCTTGATATATTATATTGTTTAAAGACTTTAAATTGGACGTTGATAAATTAGTCTAGTTGGTCATCACGGCAAATCTTTTTTTTTATACCACAACGGTGGCAAACAGGCACATAGTCCGTGGATGGTAAACTGTTACTATTACTACTCTTAGATTATAGATAATGCATCGAGCCTCAAAAACGTGTCAACTTTTTGTCAGCTAATTGTCAAATTAGCTAACTAGTTTTTTTTTTTTTATTTATGTTCTATATACTTACGCACACAATGTATCTTGACGTAACTATATTTAATTATTTAATAAATAAAATGGGTTTTTGCCAAATTAATATAGAATTAATAAAGAAATCACTCATAACTATTTATCACGCAAAATTGTATGAAAAGATTGATCCGCTTTTTTCGAAGCATTTCTATGGCGACTATTTATATCATTTAAGCTACTAATATATGTAATGGATTTTAGCACATTTATTTCACTCGCAAAATATAAAATGGTATCAGCTAAGTACAAAATATTATTATTAGTACTAATGTATTAGTATGCATACTTACATAAATATTATGAATAAGATGCGCCGTCATGACCCCAACTAATCTGATATTGGCTACCGCTTGCCCATAGGGTGGCTGAGCACCTCCTCGCCAATCCAATACTATCACAGTCGCGGCATCGTTGCCTTCCAAGTTGAGAAGAGCATTCGCCATATTTTCAATCTATAACATAATTTTTAAACATAATAGTTACTTGTACATATAATGCCGTGTAGTCTCGGTATAGAATTCCCGTGGGTGTCGTAAAAATCGACTAAGGGAGAGAGAGGAATGGGCAGCAGCGTCCTTCTTAAAACTGTCAAGCGTGGCAACTACTGGCAACACCCCCAAGGCTTATGTTCAGCAGTGGACAGTTAAGAGGTGGTATGATGATGATGATGATGATGATGTCCACATAATATAGCTCCATTTTGAATAAAAGTTAAATTAACGTACTAATGATTAACGCTAATAATAAACTATAATTATAAAGTAACGCTCTTGGTTTGAGTATGGATTTATATTATAATACTAATATAATAAATGTGGATATGAGTTTATGTTCGATCATTGTTTTATTAGATACATCTAAACGGCTCAACCAATCGTAAGTGTTATGCTAATTAACGATCCTATTGCTAGAAATATGGAGTATATTGCTTAGGTTAATTTCCACGTGGTGCGCCCTGAAAGCTATCGTGGGTAATTCTTAATGAATTCCTCACCATAGATCAACTGATATGAATTCATCTTCATCTATCATCACTCACTAATACTGAGCCAGCATAAACCAATAGCGTATGCAAGATTACCATTAGATTTCCATTCATTAAAAAGATAAAACGAATGATAATTTTTTTATTAATACTAAAGTTACTAATAGTACTTATAACGATAGTAATTAAATAAGCAAACAAAACCCACCCAGAGTTTATGACCACCTTCTATAAATCCATGCGATATAATATAAAACGGCCCACTGGGGTCAATATTAGCATTCTGTATTCTGTCCACATCATCAGCAAGCAACAGCACCGGAATCTTTCGATTTCTTCTTGTAAATACAAAATATCTGAAAGAAATCGATTTTAAATTTTATGACAAACGTGTATTATACTGCACCATAGTGTACCTAATGCACTTATACCAAATGCACCTAATTAAACAAATAATGAATTATTAGCGAAAATTAAATTTATTTACTCAGTAAACCACAAGAATAGACTAAATATTTATTATTATGGTAATAACCAATCGTAATTTCGTAATGATTATAATATCATAAATATCAATAATCCATTAATTGCGCAGAAACTGACGACCCACCTATGGACTAACGACTAAGGACCTAATTATAGTGTGACTACCATAGTATCCTTCGTGTAGATTAAGTAAGTATTCATGTGTACAGAAAGAATCTTCAGGACTTAGTAGATCCTAACAACAGTAACTGTTTAACCATCAGACGGGCTGTATGCTTATTTATCACCTTCGTGGTATAAAAAAAGACAGATACTAGTTTCCATCTAACAATAAAAACATCATTCGAGACCTGATGCTTCGACAAGAATATAATACTTTTAAGTGAAACTCTGCGAAATGTGTGTATATCAATAATTTTTGCACATACATTCAGGTTGTGGTCATAAATAAAGTACACGTAAAAAACTCTAGTAAAATATTCAAAGGTCATCGCACCCAACTGATGTAATAATATCAATTCTCTATTAAGATAACGCTATAGTTGCAACAAAAGAAAATGTGTTTATCATAGTTGAGACAGGCACGTCACTATGCTAAGGGACGTAAATATTTGTTTTATCACTGTACGATTGATTTATGTCATGGACGAGCCCTCCAGTGTTATCGTATTGACGTAATATTATCGCTACTGTTTCATGCGAAGCGGATCTTAAATTTCACTTCACTCAAAAACAGGGCTTGACAGACGGCAGTCGGGCAATGTTCAGAGCGAAAAAACTAGCTCATCGTATAATATAGGCATTATAAAGGCCGGCAAATATTTTAGTCCCATGTGGGTAAATAACTAGTTTGGAACTTCATAAATGTAACCTTGGAACAACAGTTTTTGATGACTCGCCTATATGTTATATGGAATTTGCAACATACTTTTAAGTCTTATTTGTGGAGTTAATACACGAATTTTGTTGTGAGATAGTGAACTCTTTTTACATAATCTATTTACACAGCAGTATCAATATTTATAAAATAATAGTTGATAATTAATTAAATCATAAATATTTACGTGGAACTTTTTATGGCGCAATCGTAACATACGTCACTGATAAATTAAATTGTAAAAAATACAGGGACAATTAAAAACAGGGGAAAAAAACAAAATAATTTGTTTCACTAATAATTGGATAATTTTGAAATTTTAATTTGTTTAAAATAACATATTTACTTTCCGTAACTACTGATTGCTACAATCTTTATCCTTTAATATTATAAATGTGAAAGTGAATTTGTGTATTTATTGATTGTTTGTTACCTTTTGTCGCTTTAATTATTATCAATGTATAAATATTGCCTATTTACCTTGTTTAGATAACATATCAAATGCGTGTGTACCCGTGACAGGGGGCAATAAAGACCTTGCTACAAAGACCTATTGGCCCGTACTCTATATATAAATTTTATATTAATTAAGAATTGTATTACTTTTGTTATTAAGATACTTCTGAAATACTACAAGAAGTTTCAATCGTGACAAAACTAATATGAAAGTTGTTGCAATAAAATATGAAAGCTGTTGATTGCAAAAAAAGAATTATCGAATCGATTCAAAATTGGCGACAATATCACATACGTAATATATACATACATTTCCTCTATTCAAAAATACACCGCCTACGTATTTACGGTTTATCCAATGGTTGACTGATAAAGAACACCGTCCGGTGTTAAGTCCGCCAAATGTACATACAATTTTACTGTACATTGAAGTTTAAATAAATAAATATATAGGAGGGAAAAGAATTGTTAGTAATGGGGTCTACAAGCCATTATTAGCAATATACCCTGTCAGGTGGACTTCCACTCCGTTTCTGAGAACCGTTATGGATGATTCTTATTATATTTGTCACGATGGGCGAATTGACCTGCTTTCATCCTTACTTGTTATCTTTCATTGTTGGCCCGTGAGCGTATATTGATTGCGCATTACCATTTTATTATTACCCATTAAAAATAATATACATATGTACAAAAAAAAAACAAACGAGAACCTTTTAAAAATCGTTTTAGTAGCATACCGTAACACAAATTAAATTTTAACTAGTATTACTATTCAACTATTTTTATCTAACTATACAAATAGCAATGTTTTTTTTTTATTATATAATACTTAAATTATTGTTTGCTCTAAAATTAAAGAAAAGAGTCTAATGTACAAGTCTTAGCGAAAAAAGCAATTAACGGTCAGGTTTTTATTTTTTTTAAAAAAAAAAGGAATGCGGACAAAACTCGTCTATTTAAAACCACATGAAAAGTATCTACTCAAGATAGCTTCGTCTCTGCAATATATGTTTTTTTTACAACACAAGGGGCAAACGAGCATTCGGCTCACCTGATGGTAAGTGACTACCGCCGCCAATGGTCACCCACAACACCAACGGGATTGCAGGTGTAATTGTAGTTTAAGTTATTACAGTTTCAAAGATTTGTATCTAAATATGATTAGCTAAATTGTAATAATTAATGCGTTAAGGTATAAAATACACAAATAATAAAATATATTTAAAAAAATCAATGCAGACTCACCGGACGCCCATATTTTCGGGGGTTGCGGGGAAATAGTTGTCCGGCCGATTCTCTGTCCAAGGGTATGCTTTTGAGAAGCACCCGTAATTACCATAACATCGTTCCAGCTCGGCATCCTCTGAATAATTCAAATATTATAAATTAAACTATATACGAATAGACAGAGCTTATATTACACCTACAATAGTAAGGAACTGTGTAAAATATATCGCAAATATTCGCGACACCTATAAAATATTATAGGTTTCCAACTTATGAAGAATTGAATAATTTTCAACCTATATTAAAATACTAATAATTACTAGTAATAATTTGTAATAATTATTAAAAATTACAAGCATTTAACATTAGTGTCGAATTCCCACGATATCGCGTTCGTGAATCCGTCGCCAGCCAAAATAATAGTGAAAAAATAATAAAAAAAAAGTTTCAAAGTTTAAAGTAGATATTAGTTACATAATATTTATGTAGTTATATTAATATATTTAAACGCAGGCAAATACCCTTTGTTTAATAAAAAATAAAGAAAATATAAATTATTAGACCAACCTGAATCTACTTAAAAAAAATACACAAAATTGGCAAACATTATGTTACATATACATAAAAAAAATACAGTCGAATTGATAGCTTCGAAAACTACCACAGTACAGAGAACATTAGTTTTTTTTTTTTTATAGATTACTTCAATTTAGAAAAAAATCAACTTATGGGATAAAATATCTTTAAATAATCATCAAAATCTATTGATAAATAGGCGAAGATATATGTAATATCTCTTCACGCAAAAAATACATTCAAATTACCTAATTCAACCTACTTTTTAAATGTCGTTTAAAAAATTACATAAAATAAATATATATAGAAAAAGGTAAAATTAAAAAAATACTTGCCGCTAAATGTACTCGGAAACCTGGTTACATCCGTTGCATTCTGTTTATCCATCAATATCATAATCGTCTGAAGCATTAACGTTGCACTTGTATTGTTAAACATTCTAAATAATTATTACTACGCATTCAACTACAATTCGTATAAACCTTAGTGGTCGAAAGCGAAAATTAGGTTCGATACGTTTCTGCGTACGTTATCAATTATTCCAGCACAGTGAAATATGATCAGTGAGAAACTAGTACATACATACAATAAATACTTCTCTTCTAATTACACATCTGACAGTTTCATATATAATGAAATGATTTGACGTATCAAGTTCTTTATATAGACGCTAAGGCTAATGAATGCATCATACACAACTTCTATAGTCAAATTACCTAACAAGTCCTCGGTGTCCAGCTCGCAGACGTTCCGGGATATGTCGATAACAGGGGTTACAGCGTTATCTTGGTGGTTATTTGTTAAAACGATTGACGCACGAACCGTCTGGGCGATTATTGATATGTACGAGTTGGTACCTTGTGTTGTAGGTAATCACGTGTCAATTATGATTAGGTAGGAAATAATTAATACAGGGTTCTGTAATGAAACGAGTAACCCTTCTAGTTCAACCATGTGTATTCATCCTATTCGTATGTTACAAATAAGATTTAATTCAGGAATAAATCGCATCAACATCTATACATGCTAAGATTGTGGCTACGGCCATTTATCTAAACGTCACATATAATTATTTTTATTTGTTACGGTCTAAGATTTCGTTGTATATACGTCACAATATACGATAACTGTGAACGAGCTATGGCTATCAGTTTATTGTTCTAACTCGTCATTTTATAAATTACCCTTTGTATATGTTTATTTTTTCCCAATAGGGGGAGGCCTATGTTCAACAGTGGACAGTTAACGGCGGATATAATAATGATGACGTTTATTTAAATCTACTGCTACAAGTTATTATAATTAAATTTTTACTATTATCTTATTCCTTCTTATTATGGGTTTGTTATTTATTAATATTTGTTTTGTTAAATTAATGCACCGCCATTTACTCTCCGTTTACCGTAACGGTTGACTGGTAAAGAATGCCATCAGGCATTAAGTCCGCCCTGTAGACATATCTTAACGTGTGTAAAAATAATAAATAAATATTTTTATACAATAATTGATTTAAACAATTTGATTCCTTACAATAAGCCTTTTGAAATAAGAAAAATGTTAATTTCTCATTATTAAATCAAATTTCTTTTCCCAAAATCTGTAAGTACTTAGGTACAGCCAATTTATACTTTCTGAGAAAAATAACTCAAATAATAGTTTCAAGTAATAGACGGAACATTCAATGCAATTGTATGATTTACTCACGGTACCATATTATTTGTGATAATATGCACATATATATAAATACCAGATAAGTCAAAACAGAAAACATAATAATACAAAACACGACAGAGTTGCCAAAAAGACGAACTTTTAAGTTCCTCTTTTTGTCTAAAAAAAGCCTGTGTTACTCGAGATGTACATCATCTTGATTCTAGATTTTAATCAGGACTCTAATGACATCTCGTATATTTTGATATGTTCAGGCATATAGAAGTTATGATGGAGTAAAAAAACACACACATGTTACACGGCAATCGAATGGTGTAATATAATTGTATTATAACTGAATTAACAATTTTACGGTTCACTTTTCGTAGTTTCTTCAGGGTAACGTGCACGTGACACTTCTGGTGTTGTAGGCGTCCATAGGTTACAGTGAACGTTTACTATCAGACGGTCTGGATGATTGTTTGCCACTTATAGTGTAAAAATTTACAATTTTAAAATTTTAGAAACACATCTTAGTCGCAATTTGCCCTAAATTAAATTTATCTACTCGATTAAAAAAATTTAAATTTTGTAACCTTAACTGTTTGTATAAAAGTATTAAAATTGTATCGCCGTAGGGTAACAAATGTTACCAAGTATCTCGATTATTATTCTTTGCTATATTAGCGGTTTTTTTTTTTATTATTTTTCTTTTATACAACTTAGAATGGCAAACAAGCTGACGGCCCACCTGATGGAAAGTGGTAACCGTCGTCTATAGACATAAGCAGTACCATGGACATAATAGAGTATACTGTTTCGCTCATAATACCGCCCATGCGTTGCCATTCCTGAGGACTCAGATGTTATTCCTCTGTACCCTGTAAATTCACGCCATATCCCACAATTCAAACCGAAAAACAGCCATGCAAACACAACTGCATCACGGTAGAAACACGAATGGGACAGACGTACCCAAGCAATCGACTTTTGTACAAAATCTCCCTCTGGTGAAAGAAATTTAAAGTAAGTAGGTATATAAACATAGATTAACAAAATATTCTTATAAGTAAGAAATACATAAGAAAACAATTAAAAAGAATATAATTAATCCTATTAATATAATGAATACTTGTATATATAAGTTGTCTGAGATACAAGTTTTATAATCTAGTTCAGACACAGATGTTTAAACTGATCCAAATGTACAAATTAATTCGTACCTACTTTGTTTGTTACAATCATGGTTATGCAATAAAGTTATTATTATTATTAATAAGAAAATTTGTAACGATGAATAGATGAATGGATGGATGTTTGTTACTCTTTCACGCAAAACTTTGAATATGAATGAAATGCATAAAGGATTTCGTTGAAATCTGATATACGGATAAGTTTTATCATAACTTAGCATATATGATAAACTGGAATAAGAATATAACTAATATAAAGGCATATCTGAACAGTCTAACAATGCGAATGAAATTCTCGTAATTCCCCTTATTCATAAATATGTCAAACCTCTCATAAATGTATTTTAGCTATTGAAATGTTTTGTCTCTTTATTTACACTAAATTCCCAATTAGAAAGTGACAAATCAGTAATAGCTAAAGTAGGTTTGTAGATTTTAATTTTTATAGAATATCGGGTTTCGTGTGTAAATAACAGTACTCATATAGTGTACCCTAAAGCAAATAATTTACTATATACAATATATAGTAAACCGATTTAATTAGGCTTCAGTGAGTATTATTAGCACTATATTATATGAACTGTTTCTGAGAATGATTTAAAAAAAAAATACTATAAAAAACATTTATACATAGACACAAGATATTAAACAAGTAAATAAAGTAAACAACTTGTGAACTTTTGAACTGCATTGATAATACGAATTGTATTAAGGACATAAATAGTGAATCAATAATATTAATAATAATTATGTTAGTGTGAATATACTAGAATATTTTAGATCATTTAAAAATAAAAATATCGTTTATTAATAGATAATCTTAAATACTAAGTATTCCAAAATATTGTCAAGAACAAAAACAAATTATAAAGTATAATTTTAAAAGCTTTTATGTACATGTTAAAAAGTCTGAATTATCCTTCAACTGTCTATATGAATATTTATAAATTATATATAGTTTTCATATGCTTTAAATTGTAATGAAATGCGTACAACTATTTATTTGTGATTGAGTAACAAACATCTAAAGGTAATCACATTTCTAATATTATTGTCAAGGAGTAATATAATTAATTAATATAACAACACTGACATAGAAAAATTCAAACTATTAAATTTCATATTATGAGAAAAATTATCAACACATTTTATGATCTCATTGCAAACACATACTATGGTAATAATATATAATTATGCACATATACAAAATACATATATGTGTATCTTATGTACACTCTTAAAAGAAACATAAAGTGGACATCATAATCGTCGTGTCTCGTGCCTTCTTAATTGGGGTCAAATAGAAGAGCTGTATATTACAGTTCATTAAAGAGTTTTATTTTAATTAATGTCTATAAATCTATTTTTAAACTAATTCTATATCCCAATCACTATTAAAGTTTCATATTTAATTTTTAGACCTTGTCATTAACACTTGTTACATCGTATTTATAACGTTGTTTGAGAATAATATGTGGAGCTCTTTTAAAATTACAAATTTAGTTTGAATATAGAAAATACGAGTATTAATAGTTTGGCAAACAACATAATTAAATCAGGATTAGAGCTAAACCTAAGATACAATCTATCTATGCCCAATGCAAATAACAAGATTTGAAGGATGATGATGATTGAATTAAAAAAGTTGCTTATTATGTAAGTATATAAGTATGTAGTATTGGATCAAGAAGAACTTGAATAAGTAACTTGCAGAGCATATTTCAGTCTTGAAATTTTATTAAATTTTACTTGACTCAAGTAAACACACATATCTTAAAAAATCAATAATTATTTCATGCAAAACTATCTTCAATCACAAAACAATCTAACATAATTCGATAAAATAACCCACAATAATGGAGTAAAGTCAAAAACGTGTGATAAAACATTATATAAAATTCATATTGTCTTATTTACAAAATTATCACCTGTTACGAGTGAACCTTGCGCGATTTGCTTTTAGACGGGGTTGATGAAAAGTTACAATTAAAAGTCATGTCATCATTAAAAATATCAGACATAGACATAGCATTACTTTTACTGGGTCCTTGCACAAGAAATTCAATATCAGTTCCAGAATTCTCTTTATCGTCCACTTTAACATCTGCTAAATGGAAATCTGTAATTTTCCTAACAGAATCATTTGAATAAAACTGGACATTATTTGACGAATTCTCATCATTAAACCCACTATCTATTCTCATCCACGGTATATTAGATATCTCTTTTAAAGCAGTCTTATTACTATTGACTGTTGACACATTTGTCACAGTCAGTTCGGAGGGTTTTATGGCACTTTCATAGTAACTAGAAGCATTTACATAAAACGTATTCTCATTAAAGCCACTATCGACTCTCTTAAAACTAACCGAGCTATCGCTCGGTTTTGTAGCGTTATTGGCACTATAATCATACTGAGATACATTTTCAGTCAAAAATTTGAGATCAACTTGATTAAAGTCTATCTTTTTATCCTCCATGCTGAGAGGATTATCACAATTATCTAAGCTACTATCTAACGACATGTGCATCGGACTCGAGAGGGCCGCTGCACGAATTTTACTAATTTCGTGAGATAACACACTACATTTATTCTTCCCTTTAATAGGTGTGTTATCCAATATATTCACTGGGTCAAATTTTGTAGACGACTGTATTTTTGATAAATTTTTTAGGGATTCAGCTTTGACTAATTGTTGTATACTTGTTTCTTCCACAAGAGACCATGTTGTTTGACTATTTTGATAATTTGATTCTGAAGGCTCATCTGAAAAAAATAATATATGAGAAAATCATGGATGCACAACTAATAGAAAAATTAATACATTTAGACAAGTTATTATATATCATTATTAATAATCAGTTGTCAGAAATTAAAATACAATAAAACTATTACATTTTTCTTATTAAATTATGTATATAGGAGTAATTATTTACATCATCAAATATATTTTGCTAATATATCTAACTTCAACAATAAATAATAACCCTCCTTATAGCACTGAGATGATAAACAAACATATGTCCCACCTAATGGTAAGTGGTAATCCACCTTTACCTTTTACCTTTAGATATAAATAGAATTTAATTAAATTGAAACAGAGATGGAATCATTATACATAGTTTTAATTTATCATTTGTAAAGAAACTTCTCAATGAAAAATATCGACAAATATAATTTTGTTAAGGTTAAGAATTATATAAAATTCTAAATGATATGTCAAAATTTGTACTCAAATTTTCAATTGCTAAACAGTGTTCTTCATATAATCGCAAATATATAAATATATTAAAAATCATACCTTGAGAATGATCACGGAAAGAAGTATCCATACTTATGTCCATACTGAAATCGAGTTTCTGTACAGATCTACTTCTGTGGAGACTGGACAAGCTGAGGCTGCGCCTCTCCGAGAATGAGACTGAACTCTTCCTACTCCTCATTGGAGACTCTTTGAGTGACGCGCTCCGTTTTACATACAACTTACTAAGGGTTTTACAGAAACACCCCCTCTTTTTGTCACTTTCTGAATCTGACACTATGCAGTCGAGACATGTTGCCATCGCATCTGATTCAGGTGAAGTAAAATTATTTTTCTGAAAATATAAACAAGTGTATTTATTTATACCTGCTATTGACAGAGACACATTACAGATAAAAATTAAAAACGATAAATTGATGTGCTCACTTCAAAATTTTAGCTGGCGCAGTAGCATTTAAAGCCATAACTTAAATAATAAATTCAAAAACAATAATAAAAAAATACTTTCTAGAACTTAAAAACTGAAGTTATAGTAAAAATTACTTTTAATAAAATAACAGTTAATAAAATTTGTGTAAGGTAGGGCCAAAATTTAAAAACCTAATACTCATATTAAATCTCTCGCGAAAATTATAGCGGAATTCCGTTGTAATTATAAATTAGGCGCAAATTTTCAGTCGAAAAGAAAACTAATCTCCCAGTTTTCTTTTCAACTGAAACCCTTATTATATTATATATATAATATTTATTACCAGGTCAAATAAATAAGGTTTAGAGAGAAAAGGATTGTCAGTAATTCGAATCTTAGAGTCCCATTGCTAGCAATATACCAGGTTAACCTTCTCATGGTTCTCCCTGGAATCCATCGTGGATAATTCTTATGGAATTTGTCACTAATAGTGATGTAACCAAAGTAACCTTCTTTCTCCCTCACCCATCATCTGTCTACTAGCATTCCTATTTTCATCCCATTAAAAAAAAGGGTATGTAATGTATATCCAAATCTTTGATGCAAAAAATTGTTACAAACATGAAATGAAGCATCATTAGATTAGTTTTAATTATAGGAGATATTGGCTGTGTGATAGTAATATTAACTAAATAGGGTGGATATACATTATCAAAAACTTATTTCTTAATTGGATTATTTTAGGAAATTTCACATTCCTTTGTTTAGTGTTAATTCTGATTTAGCATTGTTACATTATTTTGTTTCATACAAAGTTTACTAATGTGACTATACCTATCACTACCATCTTATGGTAAGTAGACAATGTCGCCCAAATAGGATAGTTGCCATCACTGCATTCGGTACGGTGATAAGGTGTAAAATAAATCCAAAATACACGAGTATAAACTTGTACTTTCTCTATCAATATGTTGTCACTTGTGCGCTTTGTATGAAAATTTCAAAAATAACTTTCACATTTTGACAAATACCTTTTAAGAAAATTTGTTCAATTTAATGTTATAGATTTTGATTAGAAATGAATGCTTGTAAATAATAAACCTCCATATGTATATAAGATTTTACCTCTTCATCACTGGAAGTGACTTTGTTAACTGGTGAAATGGATGTAGAGGCAAGAGAAGATGATGTACCAGACTCTTGGTCCATGCGTTTTGGAGTTTTAAACTGTATTGGACTAAAACAAGGCTCGCCAAAGTCCACAACATCCAATATTTTATTGCGATAACATGGTTTACCACTTGCAGAAGAATTTTTCCTTAATGGGGTCTCGAATGTACGTTTCATTCCTTTAGTCACTAAATCCTGACTCTAAAAGAAAGAGATATTTTTACTTGAGTAAACATAGATTTACCAGAGGGAGTTTTGTACAAAAGTCGATTGCTTGGGTACCTCTGTCCCATTCGTGTTTCAACCGTGAAGCAGTTGTGTTTGCATGGCTGTGTTTCGGTTTGAAGGGTGGGATATGGCGTGAATTTACTGGGTACAGAGGAATAACACCTGAGTCCTCAGGAATGGCAACGCATGGGGGGTATCATGGGCGAAACAGTATACTCTGTTATGTCCATGGTACTGCTTATGTCTATAGGCGACGGTTACCACTTTCCATCAGGTGGGCCGTCAGCTTGTTTGCCATTCTAAGTTTTATAAAAAAAAAAAAAAAAAAAAGATTTAAGCATTTTTGGATAGTCATTTTTTCATTCAAAACTTAATTTCAGCCAAGAAAAACGGGCAAAAAACTCAGCTGTTACTTTTTTTAAAAGTTTAATGAATTTGTGTGAATACAAACTACCAAGCATTATCAGATCATTAAATTAAAAAAATATATAATTAAAACAAAAATAAAAAATCGCTTGGAGTGACTAGAGCAGATCAGGCAGCATCCCTTCATAAGTATGACGGGTGAGCCAGCCATCATTGCACTCAACCTTATTTTAGAAAACTCATTAACCCGGCCTACCACGTCACCACCTATCTGGACATAGACAAAGGAAAAGACTCATGACGGTTATCATTGTCTATCAGATGCGGCGCCAGCTTCTTTGCCGTATTAAAAAAAAATATTATTACAGGCTCTATTAATGAAAAAAACAAAGTGTAATATTTTCAATATTTACACATACATGTATTTCTTTATTCCAACACAATTTATAAACGCTGTAATAGATTTGAAATGTATGCAGTATCATTAGAATCTTTGATCCCAAATGACACTGGCTATAAATATTTAAAAAAAAAAAGTTCATTATTGGTCAGTGCAACTGTGAATGGAAAATGCACTTGTTTTATACTTCTGTTATAGATTTTTTCTAAATTGACTTTGTGTTTGTGCATTCTGGATTTCAAATGCACCAACACACGTTTGCATTCTGGATTTCAAATGGTTACAAAACTTGATTTTTATATAGTTTTTAATATCATTATAGCAATAATTCATTTTATTATTTTCACCACAGAATACCTGTTTATATAAAAGTGTAGAAAATAGTATACTATACCAAATCAGGACTAAACACAACTGGTGTATGGGCTTCGTAACTTGAAGGTGGGCGTCTTTCAACATGAATCTCATCATCAGTTTGCTCTGAATCATAATGGTCCATGTCACTGTGCTCCTCGAAAAATAATTTTCTACATAGAGATCCATTTGCTGTAATTTCATAATCACCAGAAATATTCTGCTCCTGAAATTTTTAATTTTATAAGTCATCAAGTGCAACAATAGGCATATACGTATTTATGGGGAAAATTTTCTGGTACCTACTTCAGGATACGAACCAACCTTTTAATTATACGCTAATACATGTCTCATAGTATATAATGTGCCTTTTTAAGGGGTCAGGCCCCTTCTGAAAATTAATCTTAAATACGCCAATAGCAATAGGTATTTTAGTTTGGCGTTAGCTATCCTTAAAAATTGTTCTCTGGTGGCAATTATCTTAAAGAGATAAAAATTAAATATATACATTAATAACTTGACCAATATGCCAAACAGAGAAAAAAATAGGTCATAATTTAGGTGTAATAAAATTATGGCCTAGTTTTTTTCTAATTGGAATATAATTAGCGTTCACAAGATAGTAATACCACAACTTTCATGAGGGTGACGCCCTCTGATGTCTAGATTTAGGGCCGTTTTCGTTACACACGGCTTCTGACATAACTCACCCGACGCAGGGATAAATCTACATTTAATTATACCTATTAATATAAGTGCGAAAGTTTATAACGATAGATGAATGGGTGTTTCTTACTCTTTCATGAAAAAACTATTGAATGGATTTGAATGAAATTTGGTAGATAAGTAGGTTATATCCTAACTTATTATATATGATATTTTATATACGGTTTCACGAGAGTGAAGCTGAGGAATACAACTAGCAAATTATATACCTAGAATGAATTGAATTATATTCACCTGTGTAAATGTACAAAATGGTTCCAATATTTTCTCTATCTCTGGAGGCAACTCTGGTGGTAATGTAAGAACAGTTTGTGCTGAAACTAAATAATTAACATTTATTAACAGAGTTGTTGTGAGCAGGTTCGCTACCTATTCTGGATTCCTTGGATTTGTCCTTGTTTCACGAAACATCTAATAGAATATTGTATAACAGAAATATTCAAGTTTTAGATATAACACCACATCATCTTAAACTAATATTATTGATAAGGTCAAAATCAGTAACAAAATTCTATTTTAAACTCAAAAATATTTTAAGCTTCTTGTAATTTTAGGGACCACATCAGTATGGTCAATACATTATAAAATAAAACGAAATAACATATCTACTTACTATTTTTTTGTACTTAGAATACTTGTACTTGCAAATTTGACTTTTACTGATTTACACAGACTACTATTTAGACAGACTAGTAAATTAAGCAAGAGATGTAAATATTCATAGAGCCTTTTGGTACTTGGTTTGTTTTTGCCTAATTCCAAAGGGACTAGCCGTAATGTCGTAATTAATTAGATATACTAGCTAGATCAAATAAAGTCGTCAACGAGAATTAAGAGAAAAGTGTACAAATTAATGATCTAGGCTTCTGTATCCGTATGGCAAAAAAAAGTGGTAACCTCGTATGGACAGTGTAAGGTGATCTCAAATGCATTGGAGGGAGTCAGTAGATGCAGGTAGCTGAGGACCATTTATTATAGCAATCTATAGAGAAGGCCTACTTTATCAAATAGATAACGGCTGACATGATGAAGATGATGCTCAAGGTTTTATATTACTGACTACTATTTACAATTTTCAAAAAATTTACTTAATACTAGATTAATAAAAAATAAGATAAATAAATATTTGAGCCTTTGTAATAAGAAATTAAGTAATTAACAATACAATAAACATAATTTAAATTACTAGTATGAATTACTAACATATTAATAAATATTAATTCAAAATAGTTCTATACATTTATATATATTTCATGCAAAAACTACTGAACAGATTTGAGTTACATTTGATACACAGGTAGGTTTAGTTTATTTTAGAATGTAATCATCATCATATCAGCTGTTAACTTTCTGCTGCTGAACATAGGACTCCCATTTGGGGGTTTATGCCAGTAATTGCCAAGCTTGGTAGGCGGGTTGGCTATTGCAATTATCCATCATTGATTTTTTTTTTATGGGTGAAACTGGTATGGTAACCCAGCCTGCACTAACGGGATATGCTGGCGGAGCACCAGTGATAGACGAGAATGGAAACAGGCCAGTTAGCCCATCATGATGAATTCATCAGGAATTAACCTCGATAGTTTCCAAGGAAAACCGCGAGGAGGTCGACCTGGTTGGATATATTGCTAGCAGTGGGATTCTCAGTCTCCATTACTAACAATCCCTTTCCCCCTATCCTTGATCATTGGATTACCTTTGCTCAAAAAGTCACTTCTTATATTGCCCACAGAAAAGAAAGGGGTGGCCCATTCAATGCCAAGATCATAGGATATTTTATATACTGATTCATATAGGCGAAGCTACGAGAAACAGGTAATGAAATCATAAAGAGTCACAAAATGGAGTCTCAAAAATAAAAGAAACTTAATTTACAAATACATAATTTTGTACATACTGTAATGATAAATTTGCATCATATTATCCATTTTAATATAGAAAATTATTACCACTTAGTGCCTGAATTACTAATACATAATATTTCAGATGGAGGAATATATAAGGCACTGTTTATACCAGTCAATCAACATACTCCAATAAACATAAGTATAATAAATAAATAAAAAATGTATCAAATTTGACATGTTAAGATTAGAAATTATCTTACTTACCATCCTTCATGGCAACCATCTGATCTTTAATAAAACTTGTCATATGGATGCTGCTATCATTTGAAATTTGAAGCAAAGGTTTGACTTTTTTAGAAGATTCCAAAGGACTGGGCATGACCATTTCTTGAGAGAAAAATCTAGAAGTAATTGGTATAAGACATAACTATTACTTCTAAACAAATCAAACTCAAACACAATTGTATGATAACCCAATATAGTAAATGCACATTAAAACCATATCTGTTTAAATTTTTTATAAATTTATTGATTAATATATTCAGATAATTAAAGTTGCATAGAAAATGCAAACTATCAAAATATTATTGAAAAATATACGGCGTATGATTTAGGTACTAACTTTTCAGTTGCTTCCTCTGCGATTTTTTCTAAAGCAGGATCAGGAGATGGCTCGAATTGGCTATTACAAGCTACAATATCCGCGGGAACTAAGGAGCATGCTTGATCAATATCCCAATAAAAAGAACCATTATTTTTCTTCTTATATATTCTGCACATTCCTGGACTATAAAAACAAAGGTGATATCTTACTCTCCTGGAACTACTACATATTTATATTAAGGGATTGTTGATTGTTATCGTTGCTCTCACCTGCATATTGGTTTGTGTAACCTATCTATTAAGGCATTATCAAAGGGATTGCGCACTTTTTTATTCTTCGGAGGAGTAGGAGTCGATTTGTGGTTATTTGGGCTAACATTTTGATCACTCATTTCGAAAATAACGTAAAAATTTCAGAAGACAGTCATAGCACAATGACCCCGTGTTAGCGATTACCAACTAGTGTTGCCTAGTTTCGATGACAATCGATTATTAATCGCTAATAGTTTGAAAACGTATATGATTATGCATAATACAATTACATTCATTTATTTATTATCTAATTTTCAACGATTATAAGCAACTAAGATTTTAACGTTATATCGTTAAAATCTTAGTTGCTTATAATAAAAAATAAGACAATCAATTAATAACATAATCTACAGTATTGATGTGAACGGATATCAATAATATTCAATGAATCCGATTATATCAAAAATTAAACCATGAAAAAAATAATTTTGTAATTTGATAAATTAACAAATAAAAAATATCACTTGCTAATTAAGGCAGGAACTATTACATTTAAAACGAAATAAATAAAACTGATATTTGTATAAATATGTAGATATGTTGTGGATTAGTGGTTGTAAACCACAGCCATACACAAATATCAGTTTTTATTTACGTTATCTAATTTGCTATTTACTAAGAATATCTACCTATTTGTTCGTTAGTGATGCTAACAATATAAAGGAAATCGACATTCTTGTGTCTATCAATCAATAAAATATAAGAGAATATAGGTACTTATTATTGCAGTGTGGAAAATAAATATTCGTGTCTCGCATTTAATGATAATATGGTTTTAATAATTTTTAGTATTATGGTTGGTTGTAATTATATTATACATACATTATAATTAATTGTTTATTTATAAGATTTTTTTAAATGATTTTAATAAAGGTGATTTTTTACTTCTTTACAATATTAAAAAATCTTTGTTTTTTTTTCCTTATTTTTCTTTAGTGGTGTTCACCCCGATATTAGGGTATTTTACTAAGAAAAAAACGGGGAAACGACAGTAATAATAAAAATACCTAACTCAAGCAAATTTAGAAAGGATAAGGATTAGATCTAGGATATTTATAGGATATGAAGAATATACTAATACATATGAGAATATACTTATAAATATATAGGAGAAGCAATTGATGCAATTATAAATGTATTCATATAATATAACTAAATCTTAAAAAAATCTTTGTTGTTACCAGGAATATTCATTAATATTTGTATATCCTTATCTTTCAATTTCTTTTTTTTTTGTAAGTCCGATATAACCAAACACATAGAACCATTAGGAAAGTTAACAACTCTATTTTTTATTTTACGTCTTCTTTTTTTTTATACAGTAGTAATTTTTTTTACAACATTGTCACCCACTTCATTTAGTGTTGTAAGTCTGTTTTTTAAGTTTACAAAAATCATCAATGACTATTAACAGATTTTTCTGTTATAACTTTTTGGTTAGTCTGAGATTATGTTGTTATTTACGAAATAGAAAATTAATAGACATTATAAATATTGTGTTATTTAGGTTAGAGAGTACAGTACTTGATAAATATAATAATAATAATATTGAAGAAACCTTGATAAGGATTACATTCTCCAGTCCTAAAGAAGTAAGGGACGAATTACACAGGTTTTATGATGGTGTCAATGACAACAATGCATATGATTTATGTATGAAATTTTTCTGTACAGTAAAGATCCGTCAGATGATATGACAACTCACATTATAAAACTAAAGAATATATGATTCAAACTGGTACAGGAACTTGCAAAAGCAGAAAATAATACTAATTTGCCGAATCTTTTGCTGATTTTCGAAGTCCTAGACACGTTTCCTGAATAGTATTTCTCTTTCAAGTTTAGTTGGTTATTAATGTCAAAAAACTAACTAGTCAGTTGTGTGCTCATGCACGTGCTCTTACAGAAACCGCTTGTTCCTACTGTACTAGTAAGATTATTGGACAAACATTGATGACCAAAGTAAAGAAGAAGTTTACTAAGAAGGAAAAGGTTAAACTTCAAGAAAGAACGCGAGACTTCAAAGCCTACCGACAAGAGGAAATGTTTCTTTTGTAAAGAAGTAGGACATCTTATGGACAAATGTTCTAAGAAGAAATCTAGTCGCATAGATAAAGAGACTGTTTTAAGTATGAACATGATGCTGATATTGGTGAATTCATAAGACATGGTTGTCGATAAGGATGGTTGGTATGTAGATAATAAACCCACAAATCATGTAACAATGCGTCAGGATCTTTATCAGGATTTTGAATACTTTGGTGAATTTCACACTGTGACAGCGGGTAACAATGTCAAATATCAAAGCCATTGGTAAGAGCATTATTAATGTTATAGCTGATGTTGATGGTAAGGAAGAGAATATATATCGTCGGAATGTCTAATATGTACCTCAAATTGGTAAAAAATATTTTCGGTTTTATCAGCTTAGGATAAGATTCTTGAATGTCTGCTATCATTATCATCATTTTAGCAATTGTCTGTCCACTGCTAGACATAGGGCTCCTTATAGACCGCCATAAGGAACGGTCTTAAGCCACCTACATCCACTGACACTCAGCAACGCATTTGAGATCATCACTCCATCTAGTGGGAGGGTAGGAGGGGGGGGGGTCGTTCAACACTGCGTTAGCCCGTACGAGGTCGGCACTCAAGAACCTTTCTTCCTCATCGGTTGTCGGTTCTTTGAGCTATGTAACTAGTCTATTGTACACTTCAGCTTGCTAATCCTTCGAACTATGTCGATTACTTTGGTTCTTTTGCAAATATCCTCGCTTAGAATTCAATCAGGCAAAGAAACTCCGAGCGTAGCCCTCTCCATAGCCTGCTGAGTAATTTGAAGCCTTTGCATATGGGCAATCGTATAGGACCATGTTTCGGTTTCATAAGTCGTCACTAGCAACATGTACTGGTTAAAGGCCTTGGTTTTCAAACTTTGAGATATTTTGGATGATAAGATGTGATGTAGTTTTTTGAACGCTGCCCAGCCGAGTAGGATTTGGCCCGACCTCTAGGTCGAAGTTCGATTTACCTGTAACCTAAACAAGTTGTCTCAGGTATACATACTCGTCGACAATTTCTAGCGTAGTATTCTCAATCGTACCTGTTATAGGTGTGACATGGATGTTAGACATGATTTTAGTCTTGTCCATGTTCATCTTAAGAGCTATCTGTTGAGAAGCACCATTGAGGTCATTGAGCATAGGATTCAAATCCTCCAGGGACTCTACCCTGATTACTATGCCATCGGCAAATCGAAGGCGAGTGATGTATTCGCTATTAATGTTTATAATATATGTAATGGGTGTAATCGAATATGAGTTGGGATTTAAAATAAACGGGTTTAATGAAGAAGGTATTTAAGGTGAAAAAGCAACTGCACCTGGACAAGTTATTCAAGTAGATGTTGGTAAACCCTTCCCAAGTTCTGCATTTAAATGTAAGCATTTTGTTTTATTTATGGAGGACTACATACGATTTCGTAATTTAGTTTTTCATTTTACGCGAAAAATCAGAAGTATATTAGAAGACATGCTGGCTGAAGCTGAGACAGTAGAACATACACATAAGAATAACGATAACGGTGGTCAGCGATAACGATCTACGAGTTTAAAAATATGATGCGATAGATGTGGTATAGTAGATGTTATAATATGTAATGTGTAATTTGTAATTATGTTATTTATACTGTAAGTGATATTGTGTGTTCGTTTGTGTATATTGTGTAGATTTTATAAACTGTAAAAGTGACATCTACTGCTATATCTGCTTGTTCATACTATCAACCCTTGAAGAGTTTCCTGCTGTTCAAGGTACAAGGTTTAAGGTACGAATATCTCTAAATTTCTCTTGTGATATGAATGGTTGCAGTTTAATATTTTGTAGATTTTGCATATTTGTCAATTGCGGTCCTTTTTCTTTATATCTATTCTTGAACAGAAGCTTTCAATTTATTTTCATTCATCAGTAACCACATATTTTTATTAATTTCAATTTGTACTTAACAAGACCTTTATTACAATATATACTTTGATTTACTGTTATTATAAACATTGCCAAACTTCAATATGAATACGCTTTCCAAAATGTTTCTAACCAGCATACATTTATTTATTTATTGCTTTATTTATTTCTCTTTATTGCACCAAAAATATAAAAATAAACAATGACATATAAACAATTCAACTGAAATACAGCAGCATGTACAGATCAAAATATACACAAAAAGGTACAAAAGGCGGTCTTTTGTCTAACATTGAAAACTAATCGAAACATGTCATGTTTCGGTTGGTTTTCAATATTTTTATTTCATATTGAAAACCCAGAAGGTAAATAATTATTCATTTTCAGCGATTTAGAACCGCACTATATATAATTATTTAGGTTAAAGGATGTGAGTACATATTAATATTATTGTTCTAAAAAAAATTTTCGCCCACGAATGCTCAGGCTGTGAAATAAGGCTATAGTGATTGTTTACCATCAGACAGGCTTTATGCTTAATTGCACCTTTGTGGCGTAAAAAGAAATATATTTTTTTATAATTGTCATCGTTGAATATAATTAAGTATCATAGACCTAAATGCGGCCCTGCCGGCGGAACTGTTGAAAACATGTATTATACTTATTATAAATCGGAAAAACAATAGTTTTGTGCCTTGTTTCAAAGTTTTTATATAATAGTATGCTGTTTCATAAAATTATCTAAAGATTATTTGCAAATACATACTCAATATATATTATGTATATACTGTATATATATAATATATACATACATAATCAAAAAAGGTTTACATACCGATGAAAAGTTCAATCTGGTCCATAAATTACACTATCTCACAAATATGTATTGCACTTTCCAATTTTCACGTTCTTTTTAAAACTTGTAGTGGTCAAAATAATAAAATTTACGATATTTAATATTATATAATTTGAGTATGCAGCTTATACAGCTTATCAATATGATGAACTGGTGTACTTCACAATTTGATAGAGTATTATTACACGTGGCAAAAAAAGACAGTAACATTCCTTTTATTATAAAAGCGAACAAAAAAGATATATCTTACTTATGCTTTGTCTGCTTCGTTATTAAATTTCTGTGTGATTAATTAACTGTGTATGAAGTTCATTAAAAATAACATAGATTAAAACCAATAACTGGCATTCTCTTTCTATGGCGAATAATGACGGCATAATTAGATGAGAGTGACTTCGTCGTCAATGCGTCAGTCTCTACCAAGCTGTCAGTTAATGTCAGTTATCAAATACAAATAGGTTACTTTTGGTCAGTTTCTAAGAATTTGAAATTTAAAATTTTTGTTTTTGTATTAACATACTTATATTTAAATTTTGACAGTGTATGTTTTTATTGTCATTATTTTTAATAATTTTCCTATTAAAGGTACTACTATTACTGACTTACGTTTTATGTCTTGTTAATAACCGTCTTCAAAAGTTTAATAACTTTCGAACTAATTTTGTAATAGCTAATATTTTTTTTAAATATAATTTTTATATTATTGTTACAGCCGTATTTGCTATGCAAAACATTAGTATGAGTTATGAACCAATGGACATTGATATAAGTAACAATTCTGAAGTTGCTATGGATGTTTCATACGAAAACCACAATTGTAATTCTAATCTTATCAAGCCGTTTTTGAGAGAAGACATTTCATGTACGCCTTTGCATGATAAAACAAATTTCTCCAGCTCTGTTGCAAAGCAGCCAGAATACCAAAGTATAAAGAAATACCATATAATCATTGATAAAAAAAAGGGAATTAATTCTAAAAGAAGGACTATATTGCTATCATTTATAATTATAACCTGTGTGTCGATCATTGCTTTCCAAATTATTAATATTCAGTGTTATAATTTAGACCTAGAATCTCTAAAAGGAAAACTTCACAGTGCTATATATGGGCAAGAAGAGGCTATAAATGCTATAATTGATATATTACAAAGCGACTCTGAACACAAAATATTATTTTTTTATGGTGGTACAGGTGTAGGAAAAACCTATACAGTGTCATTGTTATTGGCAAATGCATGGAATTATTCAAATGTATACCACTATACTTTGCCTACATTTAAAACTGATTTTTCATCAGAAATTATGATTGGTTTGTCTCTGTGTAAGTCTGCAATATTAGTGGTTGATGATGTCAATATTAATAATGATGTATATGTCATTAACCATGTAAAGAATGTCATTAAAAAGAGTGAAGAATTGGGAAGAAATATGACTGTGATATTAATCTATAATTACTCCAAAGATGATGATACATTATTTAGTGAACAATTATTACAAAAATTCCTAAATGTTAATGCATTAAAACAAGTTATAAGATTTGAATCATTAACAGTTGAACATTTGAAAAAGTGTATAGAGAATGAATTAGGAGACCAAAAGTTAAGTAAACCTGAATTTCAAAATATTATGAGAAATTTCAATGTTTTATTACATGGTTGCAAAGGTGTTAGCAAGAGAATAAATTATCTGAAATTTGTGTAAGGTAACTTATTAATAGTAGGTAGTATTGGAATAGATTATTTAAATTAATAGATGTAGTATTTAATTATATAGTAGTATTCATTTACTGAGTAGTGTATTTGTTCCTATTTTGAAATGTAATTATAATTGTTGTAATATTCATTTGTACAGGGTGATTGACAATAAAATTATTTTAATAGATCAAAAGAACTTTATTTTAGAGAATGTTACATGATAATCGGCAATGCAGAGGTTCAAGAAAGTATTTTGAATACAAATATATTTACTGACAACTCTTTAATACATCTACACTTTCACATTTGGAAATTAGTCTACAACAAACTTAGCTTTCTTTATAATAAAGAGTAAATTCTAACTTAAAATTTGTGGTGCATAAATTATGAAATATTACTTTGATCTTAGTTATTTCTAACTATAAAACACAAAATTATCTCATCCACAGATTTAAACAATGGTGCAATATTGATCACATCTTTGACTAAGATATTTTTACATTCTTCTCCAATATAAGTAAATTGATAGTCTAATAATCACTTCAATATAATATTGAAAACAGGCTTACAAATAATACCAATGCAACATAGAACATTCAACTTTTTTAATAAGTATTTCAACTAATGCAATTAATTCTAGCTGAATGGTTAAAATTTTATTCTATCAAGAGGTTTCAGCAAGTATAACAAATTTATTTTTTAAAATAATAAAACAGAAACATTTATTTCTAATATATGAAACTTTTTATACCACATTGCACTGCACCCATATTATCTATTTATATATAAACACCATGAAACCATTTGGAACACACGAGGGGCATTGAGCATAGTGGCATCATGTGATTCAGTACAAATTAGTTATAGTTACCCATATGTGTATTCAAATGGTCCCTTAGGTAATTAAAATGTAAGTACAATATTAAAAATAACAAATTTAAGATTTTAGCATTTACTGTTTAAGATAGTAATAAAACAAGCAGCCAATAGAATAAAGTTGGAATATTATTTAAAAAAGCTCCCCTAAATGTTAAAGCCAGTGAGATAAATGCATGCAAACAGGTAAATGTGCACTATTAACAATTTGCGGAGAGCTGATATATTTTTAAAGATAACATTCAAATATTATGTTTATAATGGTTGATATTCTTTTATATACTGATGATTATTTGGAACACTGCTGAGGGAAGACAATACAAAGTAGATACATTTATTTCTTTTTTTTTGTGAAGATCTCTGGAAGAAATATGAAAGGTTTGTGCATTTAGTTTTGCATAATGTTCTCATGAATATTTGATATTTAGTTAAATTATATTTCGTCAGAATTAATACAATAGACTCCAACAAGAATGTAAGTAATATTAAAGTTAATATGTATAAAATTTACTGTACTAAGTATATTTAAAATTTGATGATAATTTTATAAAATGTGGTGGTAAAATTTCCTAAATGTTCATTATTAAAAAAAAATGAAAGCTACATTGACTTTCTGTTATGATAAAAACATATTTTCAATAATTTTACCATTCAGTTAGGTTCAAAATGCAAAAAGGTCTATAATCTGGACATATGTGCGAAGACATGCCACTTGTTGAACAGTTCACCAACAAATGAACTAGACCTACTTGCTGTGTTATAGCAAATATTGGATACTAGGAACTAATGCACTGTGCTTCAATTGTGTCCAAGTATTTTAGATTATAAATAAAACCCATTTGGATGCTATGGGATAATATGTTATAGCCTCCTTATATGGCGAGAGACCTGTGTCCAACATGGGGTCTTAAAGTCTGTTATAATAATAATTTTTAATAATGACCCTGAACTACTAAGCACAGCTATATTGTATATATTGTATTAGAAATAGCTCAGCTGATATTCACCTTTGTGTACTCTTTCCCTTCTAATTTTAACCCCATTAAGATGTATTATAGTCTCCTACGATCCATCACATAAAATCCAATATTTTAATCTAAAACACAAATAAGAAATTTTTGCAATTCCCTCTGCATAGCATGAATCAATATGTTGACATATCAAAACAATGGTCAATCAACGGTTTAGATAACTATGTGATAATTAACTGTGAAATTAAATAAAACCAAATTTCGTAAATAAATAGCTTACAACTGTAATCCCAGATGGGACACACAAATTGTCAAAACAATTTTGCCGATAATTTTTTTTTTACCATGTTGGATTAAGGCAAGTCATAACAAAGGTTAAGTCGAATGACTTGATAATATTTTGTTAAGCTTACTGAAATCCAACATGGGAAACCATTTGCCTACCGCGGTTCCTTTTTATATCTTGGGGGTTTGAACGGTTTTTAGTTGCATTGAAAATTCAAATATACAATTTTTTTGTCTAATTCAAGATCACTGAGGTCTCTTTGTGTCGATATATCATGTTAGATCACAATACTTGATGCTATGGCAATCAATATAGCGTGTTGTATTTATGACCATTCAAGAGAAATCCGTTTTCAGGTATTGGATGCTTACAAACTTTGTATCCGTAATACATAATTTGTATTTGTATGAATAAATATGTAAAATAGATAATAGTGATACAGTTAATAATATCTACTTAAATATCTAATCCATCGAGGATTGATGATTTTCAACCGAGCGATTGATCGTTTTTGTATGAAATGTGTTTTTTTTTTTCATAGGTATTTTGGGTTAAAGATCCATGTGGAAAGTTGGTTAAGCATACAAATGTTGCCCATGGAAACGCTACACTCTTATCGTTATATCCTAAACAATTACTATGTATTTTTAGAAGAATTATTTAGGTACCTACGCGGGGTATTTTTTTGTAAATTTTTAATCAATTTTCATATCACAAAGGACCTCTGTGACCTAAAATCTAATATATTTTCCTCTATTTTATATTCGGTCTGTTCTACACTTGAGATAATGGATATCTAAGTAGGTATGCAACTAAAAAATATTACCGTTTCATTAATACTGGAAAAACAAATTCTGCATTTCTTTTAAAAATGTCAGCCAAATATCGCAACGTTTAACCTTTTTTAAGTACTGGCCATTTTAATTAATTATATATTTAATAAATAATAGTTTAATCTCGAAAACATTGAACGCGTATCTATATAAGTAATATTTAATTGTTATTTGAAATAAATATCTAACTAAAATCAACACTGGTAAATTTTCACATTTACATTTCTATAAAGGGGGCTGAGATTTATTTCTAAAATACTGGACTGTAATTTTTGTTATTATGTAGGTAATATCACGCTATAGGTATCTCAGCAGAAAACATAAATTTTTATATAAATGTTATCTGTGATAAAAGTAGGCAATTTAGTACCTACTTAAGTAACTATATATTTAAACATCATTGGAGAGCAAGTAACAAAATTAAATTCGATATCTATAAGTATAAACAAATTCGAAGAGAACTAGATAACGAATTTTTGTAAAATGTATTTAAAAGAAAAAAAAAAGACACTTATAATAACAATATTGTAAAGACGATACTTTTAACATGCAATGTGCAAATCAATATCTATTTACACAATGTAAGTAATGTACTATGTAGGTATGTATAATATGTTCAAAATTAATTTAAAACGTTGATTAAATACTAAATATGCGTAACAATAAAGACTAGAATACATTTTAGTTGTTACAGTTATTGGCACTAAATTTAATAATAATAATGGCACAATACTATGTACTATGGATATGGTGAAAATTTCACCATGATTGATTACGAATTTTATGTAAGTATGTTACATATAATGTGATGTATTTTATTTAATTACAATTCCAACTCCCATGATGTTATAAAGTAAGTTTTGCTAACTATGCTAAATTATTTTACAAAATTGTAAAAAACATGATTAAACATTGTTTACATCTAATTATATTTCTAAGAAATACTGAATTTACTGCAGACTTACAGTTATAGATTCAATAGTTAAAGCACATTTTCTTAAGTGAAACTGTGCAAAAAACACTTTATATTACACATTAATATCACTTGGAAAAGCTCTTCTGCGTGAATACACAAACCAACAAACCATTCTCTTGCACAGTTATCACTTTAAATTTTATTAGCTATTAAATATAATATTTTTGATATTCAGGTACAATTAAAATCAATGTCGCGAATGAAATTAGCAGAAATAAAAAGAAATTTATATAATATGATACCAAAGGTCTGTTTAAAAGGTACTCCTCAATTACTCATGTTATAAATTGTAGATAATAATAGAATATATTAAGCACCTACTGTTTCATAATAAATAATTACTTTGTGGATAATGAGGCCTTTAGTATCTGGTTTATACAAGCATTAAGCGGATAATAGTAATAACATTAAAATCTAAAATTGACGAAATTGATATAATCCACTTAAAATGTAAAAAGTTATAATGAATCCGCACACTAGCCACATAGTTGAAGAAAATTCCAACTCAATTATACAGTCTAAAGTAGATAAAAATTTTATTTTTAATAATCTACTAGAAATCTTCTCACTGTTACGATGCATATAGTGCCAATAACTGCATGATTCATTAGTTACTTAAATCTTACTAGCTAGGTATTTGATAACAAATAGAACACCATTTTTAAGCACGACAAAACATTCATAGTTAAAAATGTAGAGAGACTTACTGAGAAATGTGCTAATAATTCTAAACCTTGAATTTTGCTGTTTTATAATATAATGTAGATTCATTAGTATCAGATCTGTTGGTATTTTGAGATTTCTTGAATTTTGGGCTTTGTCTCGATATTCGTTGACAATTTTCGATTGTGGCCGAGATCAGGATTTTGTACATTTACTATAACTAGCACAAAGCGTTGGATCGTTTATCGGTATCACATTTTAGCCACATTAGATTTTTTTCTGGATTTCTTCAAGGCTGACTGCAGATAAGAAGTAAATTGCTTATATTGATTTACATAACATTTATCTATACGAAATTAACTTAATTCCTTGGGATTACAAAGAAGTTCTAATAAAATTCGTGTAGTTTTCATAGCAGATTTGGATATTTTTTTTTTATATCAATAGCTTCCTAAGGATGTTTTATGGTCTCTTTTATTCAATACTTTGAAGAGTTACAATTGTCGCAATCGCGTCACCGTTACATAAAATTTTCTTTAAGAGACCATATTCCTTTGGCGCCAAAGATTGGTAAGAAGGGACTAGTTAGGAGCGATGAAAATGTATTGCTGTCCACTTGTTGTGGCGTTTGTGCCATATACGAGTCTCCTGTGACTGGTGTGTAGCACGTCTTCCTTCGGCATCCACACTTTGGGTCACGCAGACATATGCTATAACAGCTACATCATCCCCGAGAAGATGCACTCTAGGATTTAATATAGTTGTATTAGTTTTGACGTGGGTGGGAGTGTTATCAATAAAGAATTTGTGGAATTCTACTCCCTCCACGAGGTTGCCTAGTGCGTCGGGATCGAACGCAGTTACATTGGGATCACATAATTTGGAATATGTTTCGTAGTCACCATTATTAATAGCATCTATTAGTACTTCAGTGATTTTAATTACTTCAGCACGACGCAATGAAGCATTGCTATCACCACGAGCTTTGCCAAATGAATCTGCTTTGGATAATCCTTCTTCATCATGTTCCTTAGAAATTACAGTGCAAGCTCGATCTACACCCTTTTTATCTTTATCCAAGTCGTCATCTTCCAGAGTAGTACTGCTATCAGTCGATTCTTTTACCTGGGATCCATCGCCTTTCTTGTTTACCATGGATTTGCCAGAAAAGTTGCGAGTGGCTAACATAGTTGTTAAAATTGCACCCTTTAATTTACGACGTGCATTGAATTTCTTCAAGCAATCTACGGTTTCTTGCCTATGCATTACTGAAGCAACACGTTCGCGATGACAAATCCATGGATGTTTTAGAGCTTCTGAAGCTGTGATTCTCTTACTTGGATTAACAGTCAACATTTGATTTATGAGGCTTTTAGCTTCAGGTGTCACAGTATCCCATTCAGGTGATGGATAATCGTAGGCTCCGGCCTTAATTTGTCCGTATAATCGATGTTGATCTTCATCCCAGAATGGTGGATATCCAACAAGCAAAATGTATAAAATTACACCACACGCCCAAATGTCTACTGGCTTTCCATAAGGCTCCTTCTTTAAAACTTCTGGGGACAGATAACCCGGTGTCCCTGCAAATCCAAACCACGCTTGCTGATCACCTTGCACTTCAATGGCTAAACCGAAATCTGCCAGTTTTACAGCAGCTCCTTTAGCTTTACTGGCCAGTAAAAGATTCTCCGGTTTTAAGTCTCTGTGCACAACTCCATTATGATGGCAATGATGTACAGATTCTAGAATTTGTTGTATACAATGAGATGCATCAGCTTCGGAGTAGAATTCACGAGCCACAATGTCTTCAAACAATTCACCGCCAGTAACAAGGTCAAATACGAGATAATGAAAATGTTCCTCTTGAATGGAATCATGTAATCTTACGATATTAGGGTGCTGTAATTTTCGACAAATTCTCGCCTCCCTTTCTAATTTTTGAAAGTCTCTAGCCGAGAGTTTTTTAGTGTTAATAATTTTGGCCGCAAATTCATATCCAGTCGATTTTTGAACAGCTCGTCTCACTATTGAAAACGCTCCCTTACCTAATTCTTCTTTCAGGTCATAATTATCGGAAAAACGAGTGCTAACACTTTCACGATTTGGATTGGCCATGATTGACACAATTTACTTACTTTATTTGCTCCAAATAGGCAACTTACTGCGTAATATTTGAGCACGATTTTCTTTTTTAGTAGGTACCTTAAACAAGGAAAAGAAAAAATTATTATTAGTCATTAAAGTTAAAAAAAAAACACTCTTTGAAAGAACTAATTCCGATATGTATTCTCTAACAATTTAACAAACAACTTGAATGAATACCTGACGCTATAAAAATTTCTCCTATTGCAAAACACTGTCAGTCATACTGATTCAAAATTATGTGATAAGAGAATGTAAGGATACGATAAGTATAAATACTGTAATGTACTTATACTATTAACTTTTGTCATATTGCTTAAAAGTGTATAAATCATAAGTAAAGGACATTCAAAGACAATAATGTCTGAGTCTTAAGTACCTACTTGTTATACATATAATTAGTAAAATTATAAAAAATATTTTGTCAGTTTTTAATAATTTAGTTTTAATATTTTTCTTTCTTCACTTTTTATTTACGAAATATATGTTACTAAAATATTTTTTAAAGAATTATTTATATTATTTTAGAGTTGCTAACGACAAGCCTTTAATTTTTTGTACTTAATTTCTTGTCGAGTATTATTTGTACCTATTGAAGAAATAACTAAATATGTTGAGTTCCCTTATATTTTTTATTTGCTCAACTGTTTAATATTACTTGTGGTTGATATTAGGTTAACAACTGCTATTTATATTTTGCAGTGATGTACCTACTAAGATTGCATCTATAGTATATTTGTAAAGACTATATTAAAAACCTGTTTGTCTATTCATATTCCACTTACGAAATGTTCAAAATAGATATTGTCAAGGAGCGGACGATATTTATCCGAATGAGAAGCGTCGACACTATTTTGGTCACCCACTCTTAATTGAAGTTACAAGCTCAATATAAAACGCGTAGATGCCTAGACAATAGTAATCGTGGTCACAAACATAGACTTCTAATATTAACATCACGGCACCGGGATGACATTCCGTTAGCGCAAAATAATCGATACACCATTGTCTCAACACATTCACCAAAAATCCCGAGTAAATTAATCCACTTAAGGAGTACAAAACGATCAATGTTCACAATACGCTTCAAACGAAAAAAATCATAAACATTAGTTTAAAAATAACACTTATATTAATTTATATAGCAACGATATGACCAGTGCGCGACATTCAACGATATTCTTAGCAGTATTAGTATCACGGAGTGCTCCCGATATATTTTTAATCGATGAAAATAAGATATTTACACAAAATTAGGTACCGTATTTATTTTATATCCATTTGAAAAAATACTGATTTACCTATTATGTGCCCATTTTACACAATAGCCAATGAGATGAAAATCAAAAAAGAAGGGCTAGGCCCTACACCACACTCTCCTTCTGCTCCGGACACGAGCTTCGGGGTCAAATTCATAGACATTTGTGTGTTGCCAGAATGCTGCGCAGTAAATATTACATTTAGAGAGCGTTTTAGCATTTTAATGTCTGTTACAGGGGAAATTGAACTTGAATATGTTTTTTATTAAGTGGTTTGGCATTTTACCTGTTGTTTATATATAGTAATTATTTATATTTTAATTATTTATATAATAAAGATATTTTTACTCGTGTAAATACTACTTGGACTAGCTAAAATCGATATGCTAGCGCAGCGCTAAACCAAAGAGAATGTTTATTAAATTGTCTTTCTGCGCCATCTACCGGTGTGAAAGCGTAATAAAAGTAACTCGTTTGGAAACGTAAAGTTGTGTGTTAATTTGAATAATTGTTTCCGTAATTATTGTAGACAGTTAATATATTAATATATCATTGTTGTCGGCTTTTTATCTAAATTCTAGTAGATAGACTTTATTGTTGATAGTAAGTGGTTATCGCCGTCTATAGCCACCCGCAACATCAGACAAATTGTAAGTGTGTTGCCGGCGTTTTTTTTTTTTATACCACTGAGGTGGCAACCAAACATACGGCCCACCTGATGGTAAGTGGTTGCCGTAGCCTATGAACGCCTGCAATACCAGGGGATTTTAAGATAGAATAGTTATTTTTGCATTTTTTTTATTTTTACGCTAATTTCTAAATTTTATGGAAAGTGACAAAGCATTACAAATGTTTGTAGCATTATTAATGCTTTGTCACTATTTGTTATTAAAAGTGTCGTTTATTCAAAAGAGCTAAGGAGTTATTGTGTAGTGCATAGTGGTGTCTTTATATATTATTTTTAACCTAAGGTGCATAATAAAATAAACATACCCTTTGAGATAATATATATATGTATGTAAAAGAGGATGCTGAGTAACTAACTGATACATACATCAATGCACAGCCGAAACTCCTGAATTTAGAATCTAGAAATTTTACAGATAGGCTATTTACATAATATGAACGATAAGAAAGGAATTTTGAAAATTTAACTTCTAAGGGAGACCTCCTAAAACGGGGGTTGAAATTTTGTATGTGTTTCCGTCAGTTCAGAAGTTAGACACATGAAATTTTTAGATTTAAACATTTGGTTATTAGCTTTGAAGAATTCACCCCTGAAGGGGTGAAATAGGGGATGAAAGTTTATATTGGAGCCAGCGAAACTTTGGGCAAAAGACAGTATATTATATTTTAGGGTCAATGGGAACTGATCTTAGTATCGAAAAATATTTTACGCGTACTGAATTTGCGTCAGTATCTTAGAAATTTTATATATGACTAGCAACTCGCCCCGGTTTCGCACGGGTGCATATTACATCACATCACATTTGATACCTTTAAAATTATCAGTGTTTTTCTACTATATTATGCATGTATTACACATATAAATCTTCCTCTTAAATCAGTCTATCTATTAAAAAAGACCGCATCAAAATCCGTTGCGTAGTTTTAAAGATATAAGCATACATAGGGACGGACAGACAGCGACACCGACTTTGTTTTATACTATATAAGATTTTATAAATTGGTTAAAGTACAATGTTAATTCTTCATCTCTAAATAACGAATTTAGCGACTTTATAAAGGAATATCTTAATTTTCTAATTTTATATACAGTATGTTAATTAACGTAATCCATTCTTTAAAATTAGTGTCATTGGTAATCCAAAAATTTACAATAATATTTTTTTTCCTTTTTTTGATAATATAAATGTTTTTTATTAGGGGAATTTTTTTTTGAGACCCTATTAAGCTAGTTTCAGGGAGTGAGTTTAAAACATACGGAATAATTTTGAAAAAAAAAAAAAAAAAAAAAATATATATATATATATATATATATATATATATATATATATATATATATATATATATATATATATATATATATATATATATATATATATATATATATATATATATATATCTTTAGAGTTATGCCACAGAAGTATTCGAGGTTGTCCAGTAATAATGGGTTTTTTATTCTGACAACCGTTCAATTTTTGTTATGTATTCAGTGAATTTAGGGTTTGCAGCCTTCAATGTGATTTAACACATCCTCCCCTCTTTATTTCTAGGGTTCTTTTAATTAAATGGCAAAAATCCTAATTTTCTTATTTGTGTCGGTCTGTCTTATTTCGTTTTGCGCTTAAAATTTTTATATTTTTAAACGAAAGGCAATGGTAGAACCATATTCTTATGAAACTTTACAGGAAGATGGACATTTGTAGAATGTCATATAGGTTCAGACTATTAAACTTTTATTAACGAATGCCATATAATGTTCTCGAAAAAGTATTTTATTTTTTCATTGTTGTCATCATCCAAAGACATTTTATTGAAGAGGTTGTCTCAAGTGTAATCGAATGTCAAATAATTTTTTGTTGAGGGGTGTTCCATTGAACCCCCGTGTTGTAAGCTAAAAGTATGAGTAAGCGGTTCTGTGTTCGTCCTGTGACATATTCGTATATATCCTATTACGATAATACTGTTTATTTGTTGTAAATCGTATTCATAATTCCAACAATTACGTTTTTTAAAATATATTAATAAAGAAATCAGTAGAAAGTTGATTCTAAAAAGACAATTGTTATAAAGGGTTGCCTGTTAGATAAAATTATTGCAATCATCATCATATCAGCTTTAACTGTCCACTGCTGAACATAAGTCTCCCCCTAGGGGGATTTTGCTAGTAGTTGCCACGCTTGGCAGGCGTATTGGCAACTGCAGTTAGGCTTTGGAAATGTTTTAAGAGGGGCGCTGCTGCCCGTCTCTCGCCTCTATTAGTCGTTTTTACGGCACCCACGGGAAAGGAAGGGGGTGGCCTATTCTGTGCCAAGACCACACGGGAACTGCCGATACTGCCCAGAAAATGCATCCATTTACTGTTGATGACATTCATACTAGGATCAAAAAGGTTTTAATTTTTGCCGCACAATCAGATTATAGAATTTCCTTCCGAGATTTGTGTTCCAAACCAAGTGCAACTTGGATTTCTTCAAGAAAGGCGATTTTTACAAATCTATCTTTTTTAACTCGCCACCTACCTACTTATGCTTTAATCCTTTCTACCCAAAGGTTGTCTGGAAGAGATTGCTTAGCAATAAGACCGCCTTTTGTATTTCACTATACGTATTGAAAATTGTTTTAACAAAACATGTTATGTTGGTGCAATAAAGTGTTAAATAAATAAATAAATAAAGGCGTGAAAAAGTATTTATATACGAGTGAACCGACGTAGTAAGGGCCGCAGATTAGATGCAGTCTTTGCATTGGATCCGTGGCCTACACACTTACATTTCATAATCAGTAATCATCAGGTGGTTATGAAGTCGATGCGTTGTGCTAATATAGAAATAAAGCATAACATGCGATTTTTTTAAATTTATAATTTGATCGTTAAAAATGATTGTCACTTGCTAAGTACTAAGAAGGGCGGCTTACCAAATCTTGATACCAGAGTACGATATCCACATATGAGTAGTAGTAGTAGTACCAGTAGAAGTCCAGGTTAGTCAAATGAATTTGATCTATTGGTAATGGGGATGTATTCACATAGAACCAAATTAGCAAAAAACTAATGCAAGCAAATTATAGAAAAATACTTATGTGGTAAAAACATTCTTTTAACAACAATAAAAATATACAACCCAAAAATTTTACAATTATACATATTTTGATTTTAAAGTTTTCAAATATTTTTATTTATTACGATTTTTTTACATATCACTGATTTTATTAAATACATACCCTACTGGATTTAATTATCAATAAGTTCTTGTGTAATTTATTTTAAATTGATTAGTCAGGAATATTTATAACTGTTTATTTAAAAAAAAAAAGAAAATACAGACGTTACCAAACTTCGATAAGAACACTGTTAAAAATCTTAAATTATCCTAAGAAAAATCATATCGTTAAAGAAAATCTTAATTACTTTTTAAGTTTGGGACTTTCTTTGTATTGCTATTCACTACTTTGTAACAATAGCCAGCACTTAGTCGCTAACGGAACGCTTGGATAAAAGAACCCTGTGAACGGCCCAACTCTGCAATTGATTCACAAAAATCAAAACTGGTTCGCATCTTGCGCAAGTGCAGGGGGAACAAACAAGGGCTTAGGTACGGGCCCTTCCGAAATTCGCCGGTGCACAATGCACCCTCCGTACCATCCCCACGCGAGTACTCTTATTATAACGCGGCTCCGGTTCCTGTCCCCCATATTGTTCATATTATTTTGGTATTCGTTTGACGCGTCGCGAACTTTACGTGTTCATGTGCCGTTACATTGCAAAAGTTTTACGCAACAGTTCTTAATATTTCGGCTTAAATCTTACTGTCGTTTACTAATTAGAAATCTTCGATATCGATGTGCGAATTATTTACACGGTAGTTCATATTCAGCTCGGTCGTTGCTTTCTGTCACCTAATATTGGCAGCGAAGGGAAGTATTAAGGTTTCGAACGTTGCGGTCGTCTCAAGTTGCTTTTCTCATGAGTGGACGTGTATGTAAAATTATAACTTGAGAATAATATGTGCAGTAAGAACGTCTGATGCATGGCGTTCTCCGTGCATCGTCCGCAGACCGTTTAGTGAGCTAGTATATCGATCGTGGACTACCTCGTTATCCTAGAATTGCGCTCTGTGTATTCGGTGATCGTACATTTTGGCGGGAGTCTGATTGCTGTGACGCGGCAGCGTATGAGGCGGTAAGTTTGGGAAATGTGATAAACAATCATCGCATTGGCAATCTTGTTACTTAATGTCAGTTTTGTTAAATTTTAT